TGGTGTTATTTTAGCATGCTATACCTCTATCTAAGGTTGTTTTGATAGCCTCTTACATGCATCATGCAATTGTAGTGTAATCCTCTCTATTGCCTTAACATGCATCTTGCATTTGGATCATCATTCTTGCATGTTTTGGCTCAACTCAAAGAAGCTTTTAGTTATATTTTACCATGCTTGAGCTCTATTTCATGTTGTTTTAGTCATGCATGCACTGTTTTGTATAGCCTTGGTTCAATCTAGCTCGTTAGCTTTGAGTGTCTAAGTCATTAACATGCATTGCTTGGACCATTTTCATGATTTGGCATCATTTCATATGAGATTTCAGTCCATATAGTGTGGCCATGCATTCACATTTGTCACATTTTTCATGCATTGGGAGGTTTGTGTTTTATACCTTAAGAGTGGGCCATTGTGCATGCCATCATATTTAGGCTTTTGGGATGCCATCTAAGTGGATTTTTGGGCTTATTTTGACATGCCATAACTCTGATTTTCATTGGTTAAGTCATGCCATGTTTGGTTTTGATAGGTGTGGTGCAATCCCCTTTGTTGGCCTTACTTGCATCATGCCTTATGCCTTTCATGTTGACTTGTTTTGGCTTTGGTCTATGCATGTTTTAGACTCACTTTGGTATGCTTTAGGACTGTTTTGGTTTGCTTAGGCCATTTGCTTCATGTTTTGCATAGCCTTAGTGCAAGTCCCTTTGCTAACCTTGAGCATCGAGCCTCTTAACATGCCATACTTGCATTGTTTGGTTGATTTGGCATCATTCCATGCTTAATTGCAGGGCCTATAGTATTGTCACTTGTCCACACTTTTCACTCTTTAAGTGCTCTCAAGAGTTGGTGTCTTCATGCCTTAATTCTTGGGCCAATTGGCATGCATGCTTGTCTTGCATTTCATGTCATCAATTCATCACTTTGGCCACTGCTTTGGATATGGCTGAGGTCTGCTCATTTTAGTTTAAGTCCATCTTTGCATGTTGTTGCATGCTTGTCTCATTGCATGTTGTTGCATGCTTGCTAGTTTGCATCTTGTTGCATGCTAGTCCATCTTTGCATGTTGTCATATGCTTGTTGTTGGCATTGTTGTTGCATGCTTATTACATTACATGTTTGTATTTTGCATGCTTGGTACATTGCATGTTTGCATGTCTAGGTTGCATTGCATTTTGCATACTTGTTACATTGCATTTGGCATGCTCATGTTGCATTGCATAGTATCTCCATGTTGCATGCATTGCATTGTTTTTGGTTTGGGTGTTAAACCAAACACGAGGAACGAAGAACGTTTCATACTTGAAGTGATGAAACGTGCCTCAATCCTCGGTCGCCGACACTCTTGATCCAACATGATAGAGCATGAGGCATTCTTTTTTTTTTTGTGCATTCATTCCATATTGATTTGTGCAATTCGGTCTCTTTGGCTATCATGCATCGAAATACGTGATTGATGGCTCGAGAGTTAAACACTACACTTCTTTGAGTCTCAAACATAATAAGGGGTGTAGTTGTACAACATTTTCTTGCAAATGTATTGCCATGCCCTTGTTTGTCCTCTGCTGCAGCAAAAGGAGCAGTTTGTAGGAAGAGATGGCCGATCGGCTGACAATTTTTGACCGATGGACTCATAAGTGGTCGATAACCCTTTTCTCTTGGCCGATGGCCATACCATTTGGCCGATGGCCTCTCAGAGTGTCCACGGGGTGGTTCAGAGGCATCACAGAAGCTGGAATAGTTTTCAGAGGAGCATAAGTGTGTAAACAGAGGCAATATAAGGCATGGCAACGGATTTCCGGGAGGACGCGACCAAGCATGCATCTCTCTATCGCCTGCGAGGCCATTCAATATTCATGATTAGTTCATGTAATTTAATCATTTATTTGATTTTGTAATATTCATTTAGCTTAGTGTAGCTTTTTGTTTCAATTTGGATTGTAATAATTAATTACCTTGTTAGTTAATTAGTTTTGTTATTGAAATAATTAGTCTAATTAAATTATTAGATTAGTTGCTTAGCTTAGTGTAGCTAGCTTAGCGTATTCATTCGGACCCTCCGTCGAGAGGGCAAATTTTGTAATAAGCGTGCGTGTGTGTGATGCATGCCTTCCAACCCCCATTTCTTTCTCCATTTTACTTAACCGCTTACGATGGTTAGTTCTAGGTCATGTTTCAATTAGCATCCCTATGCTCGCATGTTTGCATCCATTCATTCGTATTGCATGCACCAGGCTCGGCGCATCATACTAACCGCATAGTATTTCAATTTCTACTTGAATATATAATTATCAAGTTGCATCTCATATGCCATTTTAGAATAGCCGAGCCTATTTCTAGTCGCATTTTGCATGTGTTGCATTAGCCATCTTAACATAGGTAGGATCATGTATTGATTACTAGCTAGCTATTGTTTTGGTTCGGAGTACTAGGTAAGCCCTTATGCTTTAGCATCTTGTATGCGTGTGAGTGATTGCCATGATAGCACGCTTGCTACGAGGCTAACTGCTTATATGATATAACTGCCTGAATGCCTGTGGGTGAAGGTTAGATTACTTGAATTGGAACAATTCATCGAAATGCAAGTTTTAAGCCCAATTGAGAGTGGCAAAATCATGTTTTCTAAGCCCACTTGAGGGTGGCAAATCCACGTCTTAGCCTACTTGCGAGTAGCATCTTCAAACCATTTTCAAACAAATATGAGATGTTTTGTTCCAAATTAGGCGATCTAGTCTATATTTGTGTGTTGTGCGCATCACATGGTAATTCTAACTAATAAACCGGAATAAGAACATTGTTTTCAAAAATAAGATATCATGTTAGTAAAGGCCAATCTTTGATCGGGCGAGTGGGGGTGCTCATTACATGACCTTCCCCTCTTGTACCCAAGTTCCCGAGCCGAGGCAACTTTGGTGATAACGGATACGTGGCCTTAGGCACGAGTCAGGGTTTCCTAAATTTCCCAAAATAAAATATTTAAATGGCGACTCTGCATCTGGTAAAGCAGTCCATGTTTGGCACTTCTTTATAAAAATCTGTTTTTCAAAACGATTTGCCGGATTTGGACTCTTTGGTGATTTATCGGTCTTGCATTGCACTTTGCGAGATTAGATTCAGAACCGTGACATTGAGTCTGAACTGTAGTATTCTAATGAACAAAATGAATTTTCGCACCCTTTCGCCGCGGAGCGGGGACGTTCGGGCACGTCTACAAAGGGTTGCTTCTATGAGAATTGATAAGGCTAAACCCTAAAATCCTAAACTCTAAACCCTAAACTCTAAATCCTAAACCCCAAAACTCTAAACCCTAAACCCTAAACCATATGCCCTAAACCCCAAATCGTAAATCATAAATCCTAAACCCTAAACCCTAACCCTAAACCCTAAATCCTAAACCCTAAACTTAAAGTTCACAGTTTACAATTAACATACAACTACTTTTAAAAAACTAAACTCTTACCAATGTGAACAATCACACTACAAAGTGAAAATATAAAACAAAAGTAAAAATCAACTATTTTGATTGTTCAATGATAACAAAAATAATTGTTCAACCACTAAACATAGCAACAAAAACAACAAACGTATAACTAACCTTCTAAAAAATAAAATTCATGTCAAAATACAATGTGAATGTTCATAACTTATAATTAACATACAACTAGCCTTAAAAAAAACTAAATGCATATCAATGTGAATATTCACACTGTAACTTGAAAACACAAAATAAAATTAAAAAAATAAAAATAAACTATTTCAATTATTTAATGGCGATAAAAATGATTGTTTAACCAACAAGTATAGTAACAAACAAACACACAATAAATCATCAAACAATATATAAAAAATTATCAAATAGTTCATATATATTGATGCACCTTTTTTTAAAAAAATCTGTATATAATCAACTCCGGTATAATACCGGCGAATAAACTACACAATATCGATGACTATATAAACCGATGAAGATACTACGGTTTATGTATAAAAATAGCAAAAAAATGATTGTTCATCGTCGGTTTACTATTATTTCTATTGCGAGTTCATCATCATCTCTATCATTGGTTTACGTGTACAACTAATATTTTCTGCCAAATGTTCTTCCATGACATGACCTTATTGTAAAATAATGGTGAATGAAGATCTTTAATCCAATGAATCCCTCACATTGAGGCAAAAAAAAAAAAAAATACTAAAAATAATAATATTATATATTTATATACTGTATTTTATATATATCATAAATGATATATGTCGAATAATAATTTTCTCTCTCCTAAATATATTATAATAAAAGTTTATAAAGGTAAAATAGTCAACATAATACTTCTAATATAGAGAGAAAAAAAAAAGAAGACTAACTGGAATATAAGTGAAACATAAAAATACTTTGTCGATTTATTGAAGTTATAAGTCCTTTAAATGGAAGTGACGAGTAAATATCTTTTTTTGAATCCACTTAATCATGATATACTTAAAAAGAATAAAATTTGTACAAAAATTTTAAAAAAAATTTATTAAATACAACAAAATAAGAAAGTGTACTATTTTTTTTGTATTTTTTTTATATTTTTTCGTATTTAATGAATTTTTTTTTAAAAAAATCACAAATATTATATTATACTTTTTAAATATGTCCGGATTAGAAGTATTCAAAAAATTAAAAACAATGTGTAAAATATAAAAAAAAAATTCACTTAAAATAAAAAACACTAAAAAAAAAAACTTGATTTAAAAAAATAGCAATAGTACGAACCCAAACTTAATTACTTAGAAATTATTTAGAATTATCAACTTGTTCAGATTTATTCTACCAACAAATTTTACACTGCACAAATTTAATTTTCACTACATAATCACATATCCAGACAAATCTGAAATAACAAAAACATTTTTTTTTTAATTTATTCTTCTTTTTTATTTTTTATTTCAGCTAGCTGAAGGCTTTAATTGGAGTGGAGGTAAGTCTTGAGACGTGGCTTGCCACGTCAATTTCGGTGATGGAATCGGTGATTGGCATCGCTGTTAGTAGCACTACTGAAATAGCAACTGAAGTGCAGAGAGGGTTAATACAGCACCACCACTCTCTTGATCGGATTCCCCCAAAAGGGAGAGACAGTTCGAAAGCAAACCCTCGCGACCCTCTTCCTTCAATAGGTGCGGCTTCTCTTCAATTCGTCCTGACAACACATATATATCTGCATATCTGGACCATATACTATTATGTATATTCTTTGCGTTTTCATGATTCTGATTCTCAATTGATTCGTATCCCTCACATTTTTGTATTTTCAGGGTTTATTTTTCGTATTCCGTTATGATTAGATCGTTATAGTGCCTTCGATGTTACTGGATTTGATCCATTTCATTTATTTATTTATTTATTTTTTTTTGTGATTCAATACTGGATTTGATCGATGGATGTGAGGTTTTGGAGGATTTCCCCCTCCCCCCTTTTTGTTGTTGTTGTTGTTGTTGCGTGGGTTTAGCTTTATCGCTCTTCTTTGATTCTTGATTTCTTGATTGGTTGCTAAGAAAGCCCATTCAAGGAGGGGGAAAAAAGTATATTGTGTGTGTGTGTGTGTGTGTGTTTTTTTTTTTTTTTTGTCATGGTTCCAATCGTGTTGGGACTTTTTATTAGTAATTAAAATAAGTTTACTTTCTATTTTGCCAAAATTTGTTAGGACTTTTTTCAGTCTCTGAACAGATTGCAATGACAACCTATTTAATTTAGAAGAGAAAAACGTAACCTGAAAACTGTTTTTGCTTCTGTTTTTGGTCCTTGTCCCAATCATGTTGGGTCTGTTTATTAGTGGTAATTAAAATAAGTTCATTTTTTATTTTTCCAAAATTGTTTCCCTTGACCTTTCTCTGTCACTTAACAAGATTGCAATGGTAGCCTAGAGGTGGTATTTTTATTGTTACCTCGCACCATCCTCTGCTATAGAGAGATGATTATGTGTTGCACATTAGAGGACATAATGATCAAAAAACTTATATTCTTTTCTTTTTAGGGGTGGTTTGTTGTATTTTTTTTAATAATAATTAAATAAATTAAAACAGAATGATCGGCACCCTCTCACTATTTTATGGTTTTTACGAATCAAGATGATACAGACTATTTGTTGTTCAATTACCATCTTATTTTTATTAGTGAAATGGATACCCCCAATTTCACTCAATGTTATACATGCTTTTTTTTTTTGGGGGTCTGAAACTTGACTTTTCTTCTAATGGTCCTCCACGACAATTGGGAGCCTTTAATTTTCCCCTACAATTGTATTTGATTTTTTTATTATTTATTTTTTTGGCAGTGAGAGTCTTGTCCTTGTGAAAAGAGTTTGTCATGGCTTCAAAGAGGATTCATAAGGAGTTAAAGGACCTGCAGAAGGATCCTCCTGCATCTTGCAGTGCAGGTTTGTTCCATTGTTATTTCGCAACATTTAACTTCTATGTTGTATTGTTCGCACTTTAATTTCTTCTTTGCTAAGGGTGGAAGTAACCATTGATTTCCATTGCTAAAGGCTTGGGATTTGGGGTTTTAGGATTGGTGGTTAGGGTTGTTGGGTTAGGTTTAGGATTTTTAGGGGTTAAGGGTTTTTAAAGGTTCAGGATTTAGCATTTGTGTGCCGGTAACAAGTCCATCAACATATATCAGTTGTTGAAAAAGGATAGAAGCCGAGGCAACTTCATACACAATGGAAAGCAACATTCAGTCGTTAGTAAAACCATGAAAGAAAAGATTTTTTTCCCAACATTTAATGAATTCACTTCCCATTGTATGGCCCTCTGTAGTGCTAACTCACGAAAATGGACAAATTTCTACCTCGAGGGTGGTGAATAGGCCAAAATCTTAGTTAATTTATAGCCGATTATAAATCAAAATTCCAACCCAGGTAATCAAACTTTAGCAACTATTCAATCTCAAATCAATAACGCCATTGATTCACTCTCTTTACAAAATTCCGGTTAGGATTGCCTAGAAAATTGCGAAGTTAATGAGGGCTTTCTTTGAGAAGGATGCGAAGAGGGGTTTAGGATCCACTTAATTAAGTGGGAGGTTGTTGCTCTTCTTAGAAATAAAGGGGGCCTTGCCATTGAGAATACTGTTGCAAGGAACATTGCTCTCTTGAGCAAGTGGTTATGGAGATTTCTAATCGAAAGTGAATCACTATGGCATTCTATTATTAAGAGCAAGTATGGTGTTCAGGCCAATGGTAGAGACTCTATTGTGGTTAGCTGTCACAAGGCTAATTTTCAGTTTATAAAAATTTTCTTGCAATGGCACTAAGTCCTAACACTTTGTCTCAGCTAATGTATGCAACTCACACATATAGATTAAATTTCGTCAAGCATAGAAGATAAGCAACACAAAAATTAATGAAAAATCCAACATTTATTATTACACCAACAATTACAAAGGGAAGCCGAATGCCAAACTCTCTAACGCTTGATGAATTCGAGTTTGCATGGCCATGCCTATATATAGGCTACAATCAGAACATTTGAAATTCAAACAGGCTACAAAACATAAGGGACACATGCCACCTGGCATGGTAGTTGACACCCCCAACTGCCAAGGGGTTAACATAGATTTGAAACAAGCTTACATAAATAACTGTCACCATCTACTCCATTATTTCAGTCTACTTTGTTCATTGCCAGCATGTCTGGTTTCATGCATAACCGCCCACAACTGCCCTTATATTTTAGGAAGCCTTTGTCTTGCTTTAGACAATTCGAATTTCTCAAGCCACTAGCCAGGCAGAGCCCGGAGTGTCATATGTTGGCCTTGCTCAAGTCTAACTACCTTACTAACCAGCCAAGTTGTGCACCACGCCTTGCTGTCTAGCCCAGTCAAGTTGTATGATTTTGTTAAACCCCCAAGTATGCGGCAGCCTAGCATTAAGGTCATATTAATGCCTTGCACGTGCCATGCAGTCGATACTTTGGCCAAGGGTTGAGTTTGCCGCCGAACGACACAACTGATTGCCCACCTTGTTTTGGCATGCCTCCCTCATGCTGTGGTCCAAGCCTGACATAGGTGGAAGGTGTCACCAAGTGTCAGGCCGTCAGCTCCCAAATATCATGGTGCTAACAGACCACCCCCACCAGAAGAAGCCAACGTCCTCGTTGGTAGAGTCTTAAAGTACTCTTCGACTTGTTTTTCAAGCTGCAATAATATTACATATTTTTCCCAACTGGCATCAGATTCTGGGAAACCCTTCCACTTCACTAAGTAATGAGTTCTTCGATTTTTTTTACTCTGCCCCTCGGTCTTGTGATCAAGAATTCGTTCTATCTCAGTCAAACTGCTTTCTGATCACTGGAGGTGCCCTCCGAGCCTACGTCCTTGTCAAGTTAGTCTGATCCCCATGAAAAGGTTTAGAAAACTGACATGGAAATTTAGGTGGATTTTCAACCGATCAAGCAACACCGGCCTGTATGCAACATTTCCCACATGTTTTAAGATTTCGAAGGGGCCATCATATTTCGAAATTAGACCATGGTGCATTGCCTTTTTGCATATCTTCTTTCAAATTTAAGGAGTAAGCTTCAGTAGCACATTGTCTCACACTTTGAACTCTAAGGGTCTTCTCTCTTTGTCAGCATACTTTTTCATTCTTTTGCTTGCTTTAGCCAAATTGTCTTGTGCTTCCTCCAGCAACTGCTGTATAGCTTTTGCAAAGCAGTATGCTGCTGGACATCTACCACCAGAGCCTGTTTTAGCCACTTCATGAGGGGTTAGGGGCTGTTGCCCCATGGCTAATTCAAACGGACTCATTTTGGTTGCAGATGATCTATGCAAATTGTAGCGAAATTGTGCACTATCCAACAATTTGACCCAATTCTTTTGACTTGCGGTCATGTAATGTCAGTGATACTCCTCAAGCAACCCATTCAGCCTCTTGGTCTGGCCATCTGTCTGAGGGTGATTTGCTGTGGAGAACTTTAATTCTGAACCCAACAAATTAAGGAGCAGTCTAAAACCTTCTCGTAAATCAGGTATCCCTATCACTAATTATGTCCTCAGGTAAGCTAAAGTATTTTACAACATGCTTGTAAAATAAATCAGCAGCAATATCAACGGGACAAGCATGAGGAGCAGGAATGAATACAACATACTTAGAAAAACGGTCAACAACTACCATGATGGATGGAACACATCCCATTGATATTAGGAAACCCGGAGATGAAGTCCATGGACACTGAAACCCAATGCTTCTCAGGGACCGGCAATGGTTGCAACAACCCAGCCACCTTCTTCCTTTCTATCTTGTCTAGTTGGCACACCATGCAAGTCTTGACATAGGCCTCCACATCATTTTCCATTTTCGGCTAAACATATGAACGAGACGAGTGCCATCATGCATTGTTGTCCCGGATGACCAGGCCACTGCGGATCATGCGTCTCTCTAAGAAGTTCCAATCTCAGTCCCTCAACACTAGGAACGTGTAGTCTGTCTCCTTTGCCATGAAGAAGACCATCTTCAAGCCAATACCGACGAACAATATCATCATTTACTTGTTGCACCAACCATTGATACTTTGAATCAATTGCAGCACTATCCTTGACCCTTTGCAACAATTGTGTTTCAGGCCTCGTTTGTGAACAGGCTAATTTAGTAACTTTTTGGCTATTTGGCTAAAATATGAGCTACAAAAACTAGTATGTTTGGGATGACTTTTTGACTTTTTACGAAAAGATGTGCAAAAAGTAGAGAGAAAAGAGAATCTTTGACTTTTTGGTGTGCGTTGTTGGCGTTTTGGTTTTTTTAATAACTTTTTAACTTTTTGACTAAAAAAGTCACTTGCCAAACAAGGCCTCAGTATTGGAAATAGCAGCCACATATTCAACTATCTATTTCCGGCTTAAGGCATCGGCGACTAGTTTGTGTTGTCCAGGCTTGTGTTGCCGCTTAAAGTCATATTCTTCAAGGAATTCCTGCCAATGAGCCTGCCTTGGCGATAACTATTTTTGAGTTTTGAAAAATGTATTGGCCACATTATTAGTAAGAACCAAAAATCTAGTTCCCAATAGATAAACCCTCTAAGTGAGATAGCAATGTACCACCGCTGTCATTTCCTTCTCATGGGCCTAATAATTCTTCTCAACAACATTCAATTTTCTGCTTTCAAAGGCCACAGGGTGTCCTTCTTGCACTAATAGCCCTCCAAGCGCTTTGTCTGAGGCATCTGTTTGCACTTCGAAAGGCAACTCAAAATTTGGCAGTCGCAAGATCGATTTACTTGCTACCGCACCTTGCAATTTGTTAAAGGCCTCTTGACAACTAACGGACCAATGTCATTTGTGATCCTTCTTCAGCAAATCAGTGAGGGGAGCAGCCTTCTTTGAATACCCCTTGATAAACTTTCTGTAGTAATTTGCCAAACCCAAGAGGGATCGCAACTCTGCAACATTGGTGAGTAGAGACCATTCCATAATAGCCTGCACCTTCTTTCCATCCATTTTGACGTGGCCTCGGCAAATAATATGCCCAAGAAACTTGATTTCTTTTTTAGCAAACTCACAATTCTTCTTTACATAGAGTTTATTTTCTCGCAGTCGAGAGAACACTTTTTAAAGATGGGTCAAATGGTCTTGTAATGTTTCACTATAGATTGCAATATTATCCAAGTAAGCAACTATAAACCGATCAACATAATCATTAAAGACATCATTCATTAAATTACAAAATGTCGCAGGAACATTGGTAAGGCCAAAAGGCATAACTAAAAATTCAAAAGAACCATAGCTAGTTATACAAGTGGTCTTTGCCTTGTCCCCTTCCGCAACCCAAACTTGCCAGTAACTCGAGCGAAGGTCCAACTTTGTGAAGACAGTGGCCTTGCTAAGACGGTCGAACAGATAAGCCACCAAAGGGAGAGAGTACTTATTTTTGATTGTCACTTTGTTTAGGGCCCGATAATCCACACACATCCGCAATGATCCATCTTGCTTCTTTTGGAACAGGATTGGGGCACCGTATGGGGCTTTGGAGGGTTGGACTAAACCAGCTTCCAACAATTCCGACAACTGCCTCCAGCAAGTTCCAACGGTGACATTTAGTAGGGTGCCTTTGCAGGAACCTTAGCACCAAGCACCAATTCGATTTTGTGATCAGTGGCACGCCGATGAGGGAGAGATTTAGGTGACTCTGGAGGCATTGCATCATTGATGCACTCCATGAAGATATTAGCCACTGCATCCAACACTTCAATAGTAAAGTCAAGCTTGATTTCAATCAATGCTGCAAGGAATGTCTCCTCACCCTTCCTTAGCCCATTAAGCACTTGCACGGCCAACAACATCTCATACTTCTTCTTTGCCCCATTTTTCTTGTCTGGTCGAGTAGATCTCGACACAAAACATGGTTGATTCTCATCTAAAATCAACAACCCACCCAAATATGAC